CCCACTGAAGGGGCAGCAGAAGGGACTGCCCCAGGTGGGGGTCCCCCTGGCCCTCCTCCTAATACGACCAGCAACAGACGACTACAGCAAACCCAGGCACAAGTAGAGGAGGTAGGTGGAGCGTTTTTCCCCGAGGGTTTCCAAATCTTGGTGTTTAGAACTTTTCTTTCTTATAGAGCAGTAGTTCTCAACCTTCTGGCCCTTTAATACAGTTCCTCATGTTGCGGTGACCCCCAACCATAAAATTATTTTCGTTGCTACTTCATAACTGTAATGTTGCTACTGTTATGAATTGTAATATAAATATCTGATATGCAGGATGGTCTTAGGCGACCCCTGTGAAAGGGTTGTTCGACCGCCAAAGTGGTCGCGACCCACAGGTTGAGAACCGCTGTTATAGAGAGATAGCTAAAGGCTTTGGGAGGCAAGGCATCCGTTGGAGTTACACAGGGCAACCCTGTGATCCCCTGGTTGTTGTTCTTTCCTGTGTCCCTGGTGGAGAGCTTGGCAGCTTTGTTTCTGGCCCCCCTCAGGTGGTGGACATCATGCGTGTAAATGTGGACAAGGTCCTGAAGAGGGACGAGATCCTGTCAGAGCTAGATGACCGAGCTGATGCCTTGCAGATGGGAGCGTCACAGTTTGAGAGCAGCGCTGCCAAGCTAAAGAGGAAGTATTGGTGGAAAAACTGCAAGGTGAATTTTCTTGTCCTTTCCCCCTTCTTTTTCCTGGGCCACAACTCACAGAAGGCAAGAAAACCCTCCGGTTCTAAAGGGTGTCCCAAAATTCACGCAAGAAGTAATTTTGATAGAAAACACAGGTTTATAATTAAAAATTGTAAATTTTTTATTGATTCATAAAGTATACAATATAGGGTTATGTATGGAATAGCATATCGGGTAAATGGCCTCCATAGCACAAAAAACTGGATTATCATGTCGCAAAAGCGAGCACCATTAACTTATTGCTTGAGCAGCCGCATTTTGGTCATGGAAAATTTCAACAAAAGAGTGCGTATGTGCCAGCAAAGCTGTGGAGGCCATTTACCCGATATGCTATTCCATACATAACCCTATACTGTGTACTTTATATGTGCTGCCGAAGCGAGCACAATAACCCTATACTGTGTACTTTATGAATCAATAAAAAAATTTACAATTTTTAATTATTAACCTGTGTTTTCTATCAAAATAACTTCTTGCGTGAATTTTGGGACACCCTTTGCATTCCTCCCCTTTAGTGATACAGGACCTTCACCCTGCAGAACTCTTCTTGGGAGGGAAGTCTTAAAAGCCTCCTTGAGCTGCATTACCCAGAATTGGCCACCAGGGTAGGCTAGAGTATTCAGACCCACTCACCGGGGACACCCTGAGGAGTTTGGAAATGGTTAGTCAAGCTGCCTTTGCCAAAAGGACCCCTGGGAAATTTTTCACCTGGCCCTTCCTCAAACACCCAACATGGACACAATGACTGGAGTAGATAAATGTACTCAAATACATGCAGCTTTGAGGAATGAGCTGAACACTTCACATTGAAAAATGAACCATCTGACTGCAGATCCATTGCAGTTCTTTTCAACACGACAGGACCTAAGGAAAAAGAAGCAGCTACAAACGCTCTGATGTTTCTGAGGAGCTTCCCCTGTGGTGCAGGGGTTATTGTCTGATGGGGAGCATGGGGGCTGGGCTCTCGCCAAGAGGCCTGCAGATCTCCTGGGTGATGTGTGTTTCTTGCATTGTCCCAAAGACAGAGTAAATTCTCTTCCTGGCTCCTTCCTTTCCCAAGTCCAAGGACCCATTTTTTGTCAATTTCTCCTCAGATGATGATCATGCTGGGGGTTATCTGTGCCATCATCGTGGTAGTTATTGCAAGTAAGTATTCCTGAGGTTTCTGGTGGGGTGAAGAGGTGGGAAGGTCCTGGAGTCTTCTCCCAGCCCTGCCTGCTTGCCTCCCTGCCTGAGGAGTGGGGCTGCTCTGACTGAGGTATGGAGATCACTGTTGTGGAATCGTCACCTGGCTCAGGAGGGAGGAAGGGCAAAGACAAAGGACTCCCTTGATGGACAAGGCTTCCCTCTGCTGTTTGTCACTGTCGTGGGTCAGAGGGAGACATGGGGATGGGACACCTACCACGGAAAGACCCGAACGCCTAGTAACTTGATGTAATTTGTGCTCTTGTTTTCTCCTGTCTCTCTCCCTTCTCCATCCTGGACTTCCTGACTCCTGTGTCCAGTCTACTTTTTTACTTGAGAATGTGCCACCCCTTCCCTGTTCTCCATTGCCATCCAAACTCATGTTCCTCTCCTTGTTTGCTCTCTCAACAACTTCCCCATCTACCTTCCTCCATCCCAGCCCAGCTTCTCTCTCCATCGCTCACTCCTCCTTTGCTGTTGCTTTCATTTGCACTATGTCCCTCAACACTGGAAATGCTGCTCCTGGCGCAATTTGAAGCAACTATCCGAAGAGCAACAGCTGGCACCTCCTCCCTACCTGCTTCTTGTATACTCGCAAATTCCTCCAAAGCCAAAAAGAGATGGAGGCCAAGGGAAGGGGATGGGCGTAGCTGTAGTGATGTGTCCACAAAAGTGTCAAGATTTGGGGAGGAGAAGGGTATCAGTGCCCGTGGTGCCTCCAGGAAAGCCAGGCCGCTGGCAGGAGGAGGCCTTAAACACCTGCGAAAATGGTGGCTCACTCAGGGCTGCCCTGGTCACTTGGAGCTCTTCTCCTATGCCGGGCCTGAAGAGGATCCTGGGTGGGCACAAAGTCCAACTCGGTCCTGGTGCAATACCCTCTTAGAGAGTAAAACCTGTTTTTTGCAGTTATTTCTAATCTGTTAGTCCAAGATTTTCTACGTCTTCAGGGATCTTACAGCCTTTTACTTTGTTCTCCAGCGACCTGGAGAACACATATTAATTGTGAAAATACCAGAATTCTCATTGCCATCCTAGAAGCAGTCCCACAAGCTCATAACCGGAAAGGGTTGTCCCTTGTCCACATTTTCTGCAGCATTCTGTACTGTTCATGAGAGTACCAAATAACTTCATCTAGCCCAAGTTTGGGGCTCTTGATTAGTTTCCACTGTTGGCAGAGAATGCCTATTAGTTAGAGAGAAACAGTGAATGAAGGGCCTAATTTGAAAATAACAAGCTCAGTGGAAGCCACTTCTTGCCCTCTCGTGAAGGAGGGTCCTGCTCCTCCCTTTCTGTTGATTAAGGAGTGTGAGGGGTCCTTGGACTTTCAGGGACTTCCTGTACACCACTCCTGTGTACTTGCCAAAGACAGGGATGAGGCAAGATGTCCTTCCTGAGGCCTGGCCGATTCTGAATATTTTAGAAAAGCCCAGTATACCCACCAACTCAGTCTTGGGGTAGGAGACGGACAGTGTAGAGTTTGTGCTATCACGGGGCCCTTTCACCTAGAGCCACCTGTCTGTCCTTCCTGCATTGTACTCCCCTTCTAAACCACGTGTACCCATCTGAATTCCACTTTGCCGCCTTTCCTTTCCTCTTTGCATGGCTTGTGGGTACAGACAGTGGAATCTAAGGATAGGAGCTACTCAGCCTGTGCAGGGGCCACTGCTGGGCTTCAGGATAGGGTATTGTGAGGGGAGGCAGGCAGGCTGGGAACAGAGGGGAAACACCCATGCGCTTGTATTCCTTCTGTCCCCTGCCCACAAGCAGGAAGAGGCTGGGGCCAGGCTGGGCCGGGTTGGACGCTCACTTTCCATGCAGCAGCATTTCATTGCGCAAAACCATCCTTCCTCTCCCTTCGCCCCTGTTCCCCACCTTCCCTTTGTCCTGCCCCAGGGTGGGACTGAAGAGCTGGAAGAAAGCAGTCAGTGTACCCTCCCAACGGTTCCCCCCGAAGGTCTCCACTCTCCTCTGGGCTCCTCTCTGCCTAATGCAGGGGGTCACCGCTGGAGAAGAGCCACCACTGTCCTCGATGTGTCACAAGCCTGGAGCAAATTTGCCCTCTTAGCCCACCCACCGCTGTCACAGGAATTATTTCCTGGGTGTCTGTCCCTCTGAGGCTCACCAGATATAGTTGGCTTTGTTCTTTTGGAGATGTCAGCCCTTCTACTTTCTTTCTCATCCCACTGTGTACCCTCTTTTGTGTCTTTGTTGTCCCCTTTCCCTCCTACCACCCATGTGCATGAGCAAATGTGCAACTAAACCCTGGGACTTTGCAGTCAAATGAAGCTGAGCTTCCCAGATCCCCTTCGGTTTGCCATGAGACGATGTGGGGTTTCCACTGTGTGTCTGTCATCACCTCTTTGTCTTTTCCCCTAACCTCAGTCTCATACGTGTATAGAATAATAATTGTACTACTTCACTAAAGGCATGTGGCATATTTACCAATGTCATGTATTCTAAACAAAGGCGCAAAAAATATAAATTCCTAACTACACTGACTTGGGTGTTGTTTGGGTTGGAGTAACTGAGCAGAGAGGGGGAGATGGGGAGTGTTGCTTCTTTCTAGTAGTCTGATGTTGCTTTAGGCCGGAAGGGCTGGCTTATGTGTGTCAGATGGTCTTCGGAGATTAAAGCTCTGTGTTGGCAAAGGAAGTGGTCTCTGCTCTCAGCATTCATGCCTGACGCAACCCAACTCTTCAGGTGCCAGTGAGAGGAAGTGACAACAGGAAGTTGAGTGAGGATCTCACACTGATAAACAACTGCAGGTTTTCTCAGACATTTCCTATCTACCTTCTTCCTTCCTGGGGAGTCCCACTGTATGGACTAGCAGATTTTAGAAATGAATAAAAAAATATCTCTCCCTGGCAGCTGAGTCGTGTGAGGAGTAGGGATGAGGAGTTGTAGGTATCCTGAAGTGACCAGCAACTGTCTAAGGAGCAGAACCTAATTACAGCTCCAGGTTACACAGAGCAATTGAGACGGGCCCTGGGGCTGCCTTCGAGGGCCTTTATTTCACACCTTGAACACTTTGCAGCAAGGCCCGGGACACAGCTCAGTTGGGTCCAACACGGGAAGATAGGAAAGTGGAAAAGCTTTGCCGCCAAGGGCCCAAGAGGCTTTTATTTGGATAGAGTTCAATATTTGTGTGTGGTGGCCCAACCTCTATCCCTTTGTCCCACTGCCCCTCACTTGCTCCTTTCTTAATTTCTTCCCATTTTCTGTTCCTACCACTGTACCTCAAATCTGGTTCTTGTTTTAACTTCTACCCAGACCTTCCTGATGTCCTCTGTCCTGTTTACCCCAGGCAAAGCCCAGACGGCACCTACAGCATCTCCTCCCTGACGCAGGAGGAAGGCAGAGTCCTGCACATGTTCAGAGCCAGTGCCCCAGTGATCTGTGCTTTCTTCATGCTTTTCTTGGGGTATTTTTGAGCTTTGAGGCTTGGCTTAGAGTCCTTCTGGGAGAACGTGACTACTCTTTCTTTTTACTCGGAGGCAGGAGAGTGGTTTCCCAGAGGGCCTCGGAGTCTTGGCAGACCTTGGATGAGGTAGCTAGGAGAGAACAAGAGGGAGTGAGGTTGGTTTCAGCTGTGGTAACCCCCAAAGCTGTGGGCTGTGGTGGTGGTGGGGGGCCCGGCTGGAACGTGGGATGCTTGGGCTTCATCCCTGGTCTGGGTGGGGAGGTGGTTAGCGGAGGCTGGTCTGTAAGTGAGGTGGGTCGGGCTGAGCTGAGGGCAATGGACTCTTACCTTTCCATCTCTGTAGTCCCAGGTACAGTAGTGCAAGGAGGAAGAGGGTGCTGGCAAAAAGGACTCCAAAGGCCACAGTTCTCTGCTCTGTAGGTGAGAAGAGTGCAGGCAGGAATCAGTGCGCAGGAACCAGCTCAGCCCACGCCAGCAGGAGGACAAAGGGGTGTGTGTGAGTGTGTGAGTCCCCGTGTGGGGAGCTCTTATCAAGAGTTCTGCTCTCACCCAGGAACTGGGCACACAGTAGGATTTGTACTTGCTCAAGGTTGTTGGATGTTTGTGTGTTTCTCCACACAGAATTCCTACCGTTTCCCACCTCAGGACAACATTTTTTTTTATTTTATTGTTTTGCAAGAGAAATTTAAGTTAGATAGCGGTTGGCAGTTAAACTAGGATTTTATAAATAGCTGGAGAATGATGTAAGCTGAGACAAAACCCCAGTCTCAAATAATAATGCCCAGTGCTCCTGGATGTTTACATTCTAGGTACTGATTCTTTCCTGTTTAAAAATTTTACATAATATTCTGTGGCTTCAGGATGAAGTTCCAGCTTGAAGGCCCATCAGTATCAGCCCACTAGCCCTGGTCAGCGTGCCCAATGGTTAGAGCATTGGCCTGCACACCAGAGGGTCATGGGTTCAATTCGCTGTCAAGGGCACATACCTCGGTTGCAGGTTAGTTCCCCAGCTCCAGTTGGGAGTGGGAGGCAACCCCAATCTCTCTTCTCTCCTCCTTGCTCTCACCCCTCCTTTCCACTCTCTCTACAAATTAATGGAAAAACATATCTTCACACCTCAGGTGAGGATGAAAAAGAAAAAGTGTCACCCCACTAATAGCAGTGGAGGGTTTGAGGTTCTAGTGTAATCAGGCTGCCTGATTTTTCACACTTCACCCTTTACCATTTACTAGGTCGGTGACCTTGGGCACATTACTTAACATCTGTAAGTGCCAGTTCACTCATTAATACAATGGGAGTCATGCTAAGACATGTGATCATACATCTAAGTGCTTAGCATAGTGCTCAATTCATGTCAATGCTCAGTAAATACAATTACTTCTCAAGCTTAAGGCCACTTCCCAGTTTTCCCACACACTCTCGGCTCTAGCTGTGCAGTTCCCCGAGTGCTCTTTAGGCTGCGTTATACTCGGCCTTCATACATGTCGTTCTTTCTGTCTTGGTGTTTCCTTGCCCCTCGAGCTAGCTAACTTGGTTTTCATGCCCTCCCCCTTCCCAGGTCATCTTCCCTGCCTGCCTAGTCGGTCCCTCCAACTGGGCTAAGCTCCTTAAGGGCAGGATCAGGAGTTATCCAGCCTTCATTTCCAGCACACCGCCTGGTGCCCTGGCACCTGGGGCGTACTGAAGTCTCAGGATGGTGGTGGCAGCTGTGGAGGCTGCTGCCCTGGAAAGAAGCTGAGACTGTGAATGAACATAGTGTGATGGGAAGCAGAACAAGACCAAAGATGAGCTGGAGGTAGGAGAGCCACAAGCCCAGGGTAGAGGTGGGCACCCCAGTACCTGGTGGGGCAGCCCAGGTGCTGGTCACAATGGGCTCATCCAGGGAGATGTGGGTGACCCGACAGGTGTAAGTGGCACCAGCAGAGCCAGGTTCCGCTGTCAGGGAGGAGGAGATGCTGTAGGTGCCCTCTGCGCTTTGCCGGAGGCTGGAGAAGGAGGCATCAGAGACTGGGACTGGGGCTCCACCCAGTTCTTCTCGGGTCCACGTCACAGTCACGTCCAGAGGATAATAGCCAACGATGTTGCAGATGAGAGTGGGTGGCAGAGCTTCATTTGCCAAGCCCAGTCGTACTTTGGGAGAAGCTGGAAGAAAGAATAATATTCCGAGGGGTCAATGGGACAACAGAGAAGCCTAAAGCCTTCTCTCCCTGCTGAGAGTGAGCTAGGATGTGGAGGCTGAAGTTTCATCCTCAGTGGAGTGCCAAGGGGCGGTGAGGAGTCCCCCCTGGATGCAGGCCATAAAGGAGTACGTTTTCCACAGGTAATTGAAAGACGCTAGTAAAACCAACTAATGGCGGGCTTGCTTCTTATCATCACTATAAGCAGTGACTTGAAAGGGTATCAGTGATGAAACCCTCTTCTCGATCAGGGCCACTCCCACTGCGCCTCCTGGGCTTGCTCTGCTCCTTTAGGGAGTGTGATTGGAGGCAGCCAGCAGGGCAGGGCAACCGGATCCTGGGCTGGAAAGTTTCTCGATGGACTTATCCCGAAGTGTGACAGAAGACAGTCTGATGCCCTCTGCACCTCTAGGGCGGAGATGGCATTTAGGTTGTGGGAATGCAGTCTGCCTCTCAGGAAATGCCCTTATAGTTGGACTCCACTATGGAAAACACTCCGAATAAGCATATCCCTTTCCCTCTCCCCCAGAGAAGTGAGTTCTGGCCTCACCTTGGACATGGAGCTGGATGATTTGTTGAGCTTGGTACAGAGAGGTGGTGATCTGGCAAATGTAGGTTCCCTCGTCCTTCAGAGTGAGGCTGGGTAGCGTGAGGGAGGCGTCCCCGGCCAGGAGGAGCTGCTCAGGCCCCAGGGTAGCGCCCTCTCGCTTGGCCTGCCCCTGCCCTGTGGTCCAGCTGTACACCAGCTGGCCGCTGCCTTTATGCTGCAGCCGCCACTCCACTCTGGTGAGGTCCAAGCCTGGCGTCATGGAGAAGCCGCAGTGCAGGGAGGCTGAGGATCCCCGCTGGAAAATCAGGGATGGGGTATGTGTTGTCACCTGGAACTCCACTGTGGTGAGAGAAAGAGGGGGATGTGCTCGGCGGCCGCTTGAGACCACCTGATCTGAGCCGTGGGCATGTTGTGGGTACACATCTGCCCCTCCCACCTTTCTTGGACAGTGAGGGCGGTTAGGCTCATTTCCCAAACAGATGGAACCACAAAAAAGGGGGCTCTAGAACCACATGATTTCACTCACATGTGGAATATAAAACTGAAACTTACGAACACAAACAGCAGCGTGGTGGTTGCCAGAGGGAGGGGGGTGGGGGAGGAAAAGGGGTCCAAATGTGAGGTGACAGGAGAAGATGTGACTTTGGATGGTGGGTACATGGTGCTAGAGACAGACTTTGTAAGTTAGTCACCCACACATGCAACCTGTATGTTCATGTTGACTAATGTCACTCCAATAAAATTTTATTAAAAAACAAAACAAACAACAACAAAAAAAGAAGTGGGCTCTGGAAAGGCAGTGTGACACACAAGCTGATCTTAACTATTTTGGAGTCGCCCCCGGATAATCTGAGGAAAGCTGTTGGCCTCTCGCCAGGAAGATACACATGCAAAATGGTGGGTTACTGTTGGCTCTTGGGTAAGACCCACGGGAGCAGATAAAACATTTTGGAAGCCCGATTCTTCCATGTGGCCGCTCTGTGGCCTTGGACAAGTCTCTTAGTGTTGCCAAGCTCCCCTGCCGGAGGCAAGGCTGCTGTGAAGTCTAAGTAGGAGTAAGAGTTTAAAAAGTGCACTGTACGCCCAGCCGCTGTGGCTCAGTTGGTTGGGAATCGTCCTGTGCACGGTTGCCGGTTCGATTCCTGGTGGGGGCACATACCTGGGTTGTGGGTTCAATCCCCGGTCAGGGCATGTACGGAAGGTAACCGATCGATGTTCCTCTCTCACATCACTGTTTCTCTCTCGCTCCCTCTCTAAGCATGAGGATTAAAAACTAAAATAAAAAGCACGCAGTAGTATTTGTGCCAGACATGCTAAACCTAAATCTAATGAGGAAAACAATCAGGCAGTGGGATATGCTACCAGACAAGGGCCTAGGCTCTTCAAAGACGTCAGGGCGATGAAAGACCGTTCTGGAGTAAAGGAGCCTAAAGGCACAAGACAGCGAAATGCGTGTGTGGTCCTTGCTTGAATCCTGGACTCTACAAGAACCAGAGAGCTACAAAGGACATTATTGGGGTAACTGGAGAAGTTTGAATTTGGACTTCATACTTGACGGTATTATTATCATCAATTTTTAAATATTGACCTTAAGTATGATGCTCAGTGGTGTAGCAAGGGGGACTGCCCTGGCAAATACGTTCTTAAATTCTTGACACACTGTACCCCCTTATTGTCTGCACCATGGTAGACCACCCCACCTTGGTTTGCTGAGGTGCTGGTTCTGTGATGATGGAGGATATCCCTGTCTTTGGTTATAAACCAAATGCTATAAACCACATGCTATACATGGCAGTATTTGGGGTGAAGTACTGGGATTTCTGCAGCTTTTAATTTATTCAGCAATATCTATAATGAGAATTCAGTTGATGGGACCTAGGTGTACGACATACAGGTGTTCATTACATTATTCTTTCACCTTTTGTAGGCTTAAAATATCCCAAAATAAAAAGGGACTATCTAGCTATACCAGGACTATGAGGACTCCTCTTTTCTGGTGTAGCAGGATACACTTAGGTTGGACCACAGAAAGGTCGAATGTTCTGGGGCTTTCTAAGGATAGGTGGGTAGCTCCCTAATCTTTGGACTTGGTTGTCTCCTTTTGGAGGTAAAATTGTAGATTTAATGAACCCTGGAGAAACTTATCCTCATGTCCTCAATTCCCTGCGCCCTCTGGGATGTGCTGGAGAAGGCAGGAACTGGGTTTTACTAATAATATTAATAAGGGGCAACGAACAAATTCCGAATCCCTGTGCTTTGCTCTCGTCAAACACCAGACCAGGATGGCTTTTCACTGGGAGAAAACTGGTGCTTGGCCCAGTAAGCCTACTATGAACAGCAGACATGGAATAGAGCACCACATGTCATTTCCTCAGGCAAAACAGTGAGGAGAAAGTTATCCCCGTTTTGGACCTTTTGAAAGAAAGGACTGAGGTCGAGGGGACACTTTGAGATGACATGTGGATGGAGGTGAACTTGTTCCCTCCCTTCTTCTATTTCTTGCCCAGCTGGCGTGGCTCAGTGGTTGAGCGTTGACCTATGAACCGGGAGGTCACATTTTGATTCCCAGTCAGGGCACATGCCTGAGTTGCGGGCTTGATCCCCAGTGTGGGGCCTGCAGGAGGCAGCCGATCAATGATTCTCATCATTGATTCTATCTCTCCCTCTCTGAACTCAATACAAATATATTAAAACAAAACTTTCTGCTACTTTTCATTTTCTTACCTGTAGTCAGCACAGTCCCCTGGGGGCCCAGGGGCAGGTTCAGTGTGGGGGGCATGACAGCCCTGTTCTCGGCATCCCTGAGAGCCTTCATCAGGATGGAGACCCTGGGTCCCCCTCCAGAGACCTGCAAGTTGGTGATGAACCAAGCTGCTGTCTCAACAGCCGCCTCTTGTCTGGCCTGGAGAAAATAGCGGGAGATCTCGCAGGTCACCTCCTTCTCGCTGCAGTCAGCATGGAGCAAGGCCTCTGCGTGGGGAATCTGCACCAGACTCACTGCGGGAGAAGGGTGGGCGGCACAGGGTGGACTGGATTGAGGACATGGGAAGCAGATGCAGGTGGGCGCACTGGGAACTGGGCTGTCCCAGTGGAGGGCGCCCAGCAGGACTGGGACACGGGGTGGAGGCTCTTACCTGAGGCCTCAAAGGTAACAGGTGGGTTGTCTTTGGACAGTGTGCTCACTTGGAAGTCGGTGAAGCCTTCCAGGGAGCCATCATCCAGCACTGGCACCTGCTTCAGCACCAGCAGGGCCTTCACCATGTTCTTATCGCTGGCAAAGCCTCCATGGTGCTTGCCTTCCTCCACCAAGAAGCAGTCCAAGACCACGTCCACGGCCCGCCACTGCCTTTCTGCTGCAGGGAAAAGAGTGGGCTGCAGCCACACCCTCCCGCCCAGAAAGTTACTTCTGTGCCTACTCCCTGCCCCAACTGCGGAGTCACTGGGGGTAAAGGTTGTGTTCCAGGGGCCCAGCTGTCTCTGTCCCTATCTTGTCACCCCCCAGGCCAGCTTTCTGGGAAGCACCTGCCTTTCCAGGTACTTCTTGATGCGAGTGATTTAAAGTCCTGGGTTTGCCTTGCTCCGACGGGTTTATGCTTTTACTTTCATTTCCAACCATCGAATGAAAGCTATTTTCAGGAAAAGGAGTTCTCAGCAAAGCAAATAAGTGAGCAGCATTGCCAGGGGGAGAGGCGACAGGCCATCATGCAGCCCAGGGTGTTGGCAGCCATCTTCTCTACTTGCCAGCCGACAACAGGTCTGCTCTGCTTTCTGCCCCAACATGTGGCCTTCCCCTCCCACCTCCCGATCACCTTCCTGGTGACTTCCTAGCTGGGGACCCTTTCTCTTCCAAAGGTGTCCCCTCTCCCAAGGACAACAGTCCCACCACATTCACTGTGAAGGCCCCTCTTTCTCATTTGGCTTTTCCTCCCGGGTCTCTGCCTTTCTCCCCAGCACAACTGGTTCCATTGTCAGCCACTGAGCCTTTCTCCCCTTGGGCTTAGAAGCGATTGGCTCCTCTCCCCTTGTGTAATCCAGAGGGTGGCTGTCCGCAGCTTCCCTGGCCTCACACTTCCCTCCAGCCTATCCCACTCACCCATGTCCACGGCAGCTCCGGACAGAGCCAAGCAGAGCAGCAGCCACCAGCCCTCTGTGCCCATGGGGGCTGCTCTCAGGCCCCCTCCGCTGCCCGTCTCCACCGGCTCCCTGCTGGCAAGGTCCCAGCTGGAGAAGAGGGGTCTCTCTCAACACTCCTTTCAATACTCCTTGGTGGCCAACGGCTTGTGAGTTTCTCTCCTGTCCTCCGCCTACGTCTCTTTCACTTTCACTTTGAGGAAGTGCCACTGCGGCTGCCTTCGCCTCTGGGTGAAGCCATTTCTTGCTGGTGCCAGAGTCCTGTTCACTGTTCTCCTCTCCAGCCCCACTGCCCACCCCCGTCATCCCCTGGCGATTTCAAGACCTGACTTCACTGCGTGCACCCTTCTGCTCCCCACCCTCCCCAAGAAAGTGGAGCTGTAGGGAAAGGGAGGTGGGAGGAGGAAGGGAGAGACCGAAGCTAGAAGCAGGAACCCCCTGAGTCTGGGAACCTTTTCTCATTTTCTGTTGGTGCCACACCTCCTCCCTCCCCTGCTGGGCAGGCCCCAACAGCAGACCGCAGGGGGGAAGGCTCCTCCCTCCGATCCCTGATGGAGATGGGGCTGGGAGTGGCCTGCGTTGTGAGTGGAATGTCAGAGAGGCGGCATGTGGCAGTCTGTCACTTTATTCTGCTGAGTTTGTAAATACAGCACGTGGGGCTTTCCTGGGCTTCAGTGTATTTTACAGCTGGAACCCCAGCTCTCATCCAGCACGGAGGTGAAGCTGGCTGGGCCAGCACACATCCCGCTTCCCACCCCCCACCTCCCGCTGTCCTTGTCACGCCAGTCTCAAAGGGTACTTTCTCAAGTCTGCACACAGGAAAGGGCCCTGCCAGGGTATGGTACTGAATTTGCGGTTGCTGGGTCTCATTGCCTCTGGCTGGGCAGTGGGCCGAGGTGGAGGCCAGGCCTTTTCTGCAGTGATGACCCCCTCTGGGGAGTGCCGGCTCAGAGGTAGGAAGCAGGCTCAGGCTTTCGGTAATCCTCCTGGACAGGGATGGCTTCGCCTTCCTCCTCCCTGGGACAGCTGTAGGGACAAGGCTCAGCAGGCGCCGCGTGACTTTCTCCTTTGTCTGCAGAAGCAGAAGCAGATGACTCTTGGCCAGTGGTCAGGGGAGGAGGCGAAGGAAGAGGAGATAAGCAAAGCAGGAAAGCTTGGGGAGGGCTGTCAGGAGGACCTCAGCTAAGAGGAGAGGAAGACAAGGCAGGAGCCAGGGTGGATACAGATGGAGCGAGGGAGGCTTCCAGCACGTCCCAGGCATGGGTGGCAGGGCTGCGGAGGTGAGGTGAGGTGGGGTCAGAAGCAGGACTGGAGACTTGTATTTTGTCTCTTACTTAGTCCATTTTTTCTTCGTTGATGGAGGAACAGGGCTCCGCCCATGGTGAAAACAAGGAACATTCCAGACAGGATCACGAAGATTCTGATGCACTCTGAGTTGCATAGGAACCTCTGGGCTGTGATAGGCAGGGGCCACACAAGGGTTTGGGAGAAGGGCCCAGCCCTAGATGCCTCTCACCCCAGCCCTCCCCTCATCTTTGCCTCTCTCCTCCGGCCTTCCTCTCCTCCCCCCATCATTGGACCAAGTCCTCTCTCCATCCCTAGACTCTGCTCCTCCTCCTCTTCTCCCCACTCCTAGGAGCTGGCTTCTCTCTTGGACTCTCCCATATATATTCTCTTGGAGTGGAGAATGTGGAGAAAACTCACCTGGCCGTTGAGTCGAGAGAGCTGGGGCAGGCAGCCTGAGGTCAGCCAGAGTTTGCATGTGCCTGGCTGTCCTGGCCTCCAGCAACTCTGGAAAAACAGACATAGGGTGAGCAACAGCAGGGAGCCTGCAGGGAAAGACCAGGCTGAAGGCCTAGAGGCCTGGGAAGAGTTGGATGAGATGGAAAAGCAGAGACAAGCCAACCAGGCAATTCATGTGGGGGGTGAGCTCAGACGGGGTGCTACTTGAGAGTGACCCTTACCCCAAACTGGACAAAGAGTTCCCTGGAACTTACTTTTGGTGTAAGGTAAGTGGGTGGGTTGTGGGCCGGGGGCCGATGATAGATGAGGGGTCAGCGTGGGGGTTCTAGCAGGATCACACTCGGTACACTCCTTGTCCTTGCACTCCCAGCCTGTGGGGCAGGTACACACGGCATTGGCGGTGGGGGTGCAGTTTCGAATGAGATGACCTGGAGACAGAGGCGGCGGGAGGAATAGAAGACACTCAGGCCTCACGACCTGCAAGCCCCCCTTGCTTAATCCTCTCCCCCAGGCCCACCCCACCCACACAGAGGCTGGCCTCTCTCTCAACACCACCCAGTCCCTTTGCCATTAGTATTATTGTTATTAAGAAAAAGAAACTTGGACCTTTTAGAAAATTCATGGTTCAGAAAGAGACACTATGAAGAGTAGAAACAGTCTGAGATTTTTACAATTGGATTATAGAATAGAGAAGTTTGGTATCAGTTGGTCTCACAAGTATAACCAGCAGCAGGTTAAACAGAAGATGACCAGTAGGGGGTGATCATGCAGCTGTTTGTCTAAAAGAAGGGAAGGGCTAAAGAAGGGGCTGGGCCTGCTGGCCTGGCTCAGCGGTTGAGCATCCACCTATGGACCAGGAGATCACAGTTCAATTCCTTGTGAGGGCACATACCCGGGTTGTGGATGTGCAGGAGGCAGCCAATCAATGAGTCTCATCATTGATGTTTCTCTCTCTCTCTCCTTTCCTCTCTGAAATCAATAAAAATGTATATATAAAAAAAAAGAAGGGGCTGGGATTGGGTAAAAATGGATGAAATGCCATTGTTTTCAGTGATGAGTATCCAGAAATCTGGAGGTTTTTTTTCCCACCATGTGTAACATGTGCACAAAATTCTAGGCTATCTGGTACTTCTCCATCTTACAAATGGGAATACTGAGGTTGAAGAGGACCAAACTCATTCAGCCTCCTCCCTCCCAGGCCAGGCCCCTCCACTCCCCTGCTCTGTCCAGCAGCCAGGTGCTGCCTGAGTGCTTTGAGGAACGTATGGGCTGTGTCTCATAGAGAGAAAGATCATGGATTGGGCTGGGCTGGAACATAGCGAAGGGAACACAGGCTGGCTCAGTGCTGGGAGAAGGCTTTCTGGTGGGGCCTGCAGAGGGACTGGGGCAGGTTTTGAATTTTAAAAGTCCAACCCTGCTGGGGTTGCTGTCAAGAAGAGAAAAACGGCTGTTAATGGTCACATTTTTAAGTTACGTGGACTGGGGAACGCTTCTTGTGTATGCAAGCTGTTGCTGTTTGATTTGCAATGGCAAAACCTTTTTTATTTAGTTAATTTTTTAAAGAACACAGTGTTAAAAGCCCAGTGAGACCAAACACATTTTAAAGGCAAGTAGTGGAATAGCTCAGCTAAGTCGTCCGTCCTCACAAGTGTCGTGCCGCAGGGCACCTGTTCAAAGGGTCCCCGTTAAAACCTGCCACTCCTTGTGCACTGGCACCTCCTCATTCCTGAAATCCCAGCTACTGTGGAGGAATAATAAAAGGATTCCGAACACAGCCACAGATATTACACTTCCTACTTTAAAAAAATAAAAGAAAGTACGAAATTTCATTTGTGTGTGTGGCTGAAATCAGGGGTTCTAGAGCCACTTCCTCTTTTTTAGTGTCTTGATGCCAACCATGGACCCGTTCTCAGCGGTCCCTTGGATTTTGCCTACTCTTTCCCTAAACACTCGAGTTCTCTTCATATCAGCATCCCTGCTCCCCGGTGCCCCATTTCCCCAGCATTGGCTCCCTTGCCCTAGCCTTGAACTCTACCCCCTCTTTGCTCCTCCACACCCAGCTCTGCCACCTTGCTCCCCGGATGCTTGCCCATCTCACCGGAGTGACAGTGCCGGCAGCTCTCGCAGTGGGGCCGGGCGTTGTGGTCTGGTGAGAAGGAGACCCCCGGTATACACGGTTCACACTGAGCAGCCGCTCTCTGCTGGTCGCAGTGCTTCTTGAGGAACGTTCCTGTGAGCAGAGGTCCAGGGTCAAGGCTGCTTCTCTGCCCTCTGCAAGGTGGTGCCTCGGGCACTGCAGGATTCCTCCCCCTGCTGGAGCGCAGACTCCCGTTCTGCTGCTCTTCCCCCCAATCCCAGTCCTCTCCCATATCAGCCTGCCCCTGGCAAGGCGTCCTCTCTTACCTGGCTCACACATCTGGCAGCACAGTTTCTTCTGAGCCCGGTAGTGCTTCTCTGGGCAGCTATTGGGGGCTGGGGTAGCTGAGAGCCCTGCCAGAGCCCCCAGAACCCACAGCCAGCAGGAAGGTGGCCAGGCCATGGCTCCTGCCCGGGAAGCTAACTGCTGGCCTCTACACTGGGCGCCGTTTCCTCCTCTTTGCACCTCCTGGGCAGCAGCTGCGGGTCTCCGTGTAGTCCTGCTTCAGGTGGCAAGCTACCTTTTGATGGCAGTTGAAGCTCTACTGTGACTGTTTTTTGTTGTTGTTGTTTGTTTGTCTTTTCAGCAGCAACCTCTTACTCCTCCACCCTTTTTTCGTGCTGGGTGCTGGGGAGAGTCGTTAAAGGGCAAACTCTGTCAGAAGACCTGCTGCTCTTCAAAGTCACCCCCCTCCTCCCCCCCAACATGCAGCTTCTCCGTTTCCGTCTCTGCTTGGTGCCCGTGAAGAATGTAACCCATGTACGCCCGCCTCTTTTATACAGCGTTGAGCATGCAGTCACCCGCCTCTCATTCACACACTTGTACTCAAAGGTGCCCACATTACGGCCCTGTTCACAGGTACAAGCTAATTGGCACGTCCCTTCTGCCCTCTCCGCAGAGGATAAATTAATTTTTTTCACAGAGATAAGCAATGCAGAGAAGGAAGGGGAACAGGAACTGAGGATCTGAAACAGGGTCAGGTGAATTTTAGAACTGAGAAGTTTTCAGGTTTGGGGAAGGAACTAGCACCACAAGACACCTTCACGGGCAGGGGTAGCAATCGCAGTCCAGTGCAGTATTTCTGCAGCAGGACGGTTGACTATTCATGCTAAGTGGGGTGAATAATGGCCATGACTAGCCTTGGTTTTATGGCCAAAAGAGTTTGTGATGGAAGCGTTAAAATGGCATCCAAGGGACGTAAACCTCTGTCACGCTC